TTCATCTGCCTCTTGAACTTTTATTGTTACTTATCGTTAGTGCAAGCCAATTCACCTGCCTCTTTAAACGTTTATTGTTACTTATCGTTAGTGCAAGCCAATTCACCTGCCTTTTTAAACGTTTATTGTTACTTATCGTTAGTGGAAAAAGGCAGGTGAATTGGCTTGCACTAATGATAAGTAACAATAAAAGTTTAAAGAAGGCAGGTGAATTGGCTTGCTATAAACGTTAAAAACTTTTTCAAACACCTTAGTATGCAGAATTTAAGATTTACGTGTACGATTGTAGGAACTGTTTTTTTAATTTGATAAACATTTATCTGTAATTTTGTTATAAGATCTACATGGTAGTGGAGAATTCTGCTATTTGGCGGAAAGTTTCGATAAACACATTTTTATTTTCAGTTTGTTTTGTTTCGGATATTCGCACAAAGGGCTATCAGTGCTAGTCATACCTAATTCTGAACTGTTTGTTTGTAATTAAGCACAAAGCTACACAATGGGCTATCTGTGCTCGGCCCACCAAGGGTATCGAAACCCGGATTCTAGCGTTGTAAGTCCGCAGACATGCCACTGGGGGGCGAACTGGTTGATTGCAGCTAGCCAACAGCACACACTGGAACGCTTGGGCTACTTTAATCGAATAATGAGATTTGACCGTCACTTTTATAACGCACCCACGGTCCCAAACTGCGGAAAGTGATTTCACGGTAACGGGACGCGAACCATGTATTCGCTGATCTGCAGTCCGGTACGTTAACACCAAGTCAGGCTGGTTCAGTTTTTATGTACGATAGTTTGTAGTGCCTTTGATGGGCTTTTAATTACCTTTGAGCTGTATTCAATTGATTGTTTCACGAGTTTTATATTTCTGTACACAAGGGCTTCTCTAGAAAATTCAAATTATCTTTGCGCTAATTCCGGTAACAGATGTGATATAAAAACGGTTTTGATATTTTCTCCTAACTTTGATAACACAGCACCGGAAAAGTGTAGACGCAGAGCTAATGTGTTGTTTGTTTCTATTAATATTCATGCACGGAATTAAACATGTACAGTGTATGTTAGAGGCAGATATTGAATATAGGCAGTTTCTATTTTTAAGAGCGCTACATCACTGATACTTGCAGTAGAAAGTATCATGCTTTGTGCAGATTCAGTCTGAAAACTTAATTCAGCGTTTCCCAAACTTTTGTCATCCACGCCCCCTTTAAAAAATATGGTTTATTGCTCCCCCCTCTTTTCTTTAAATGATTGAAAATGTGAGTTATGTGACGAGATATAATTCTATGGATACACATTAAAATATTACACGTCTTGTAGTAATTACTTGTAATTACTTCTCATTAACGAAAAATACCCCCCCCCCCGAGATATCATACACACTGGGGGCACACTTTGGGGAAACACAGGCTTAATTGATCATGTTGTTTCACCCAATGGTGTTAGTGACGACCACCAACCTCTTATCGTTGGAGCTCGATATAAGATCACTATATTTTGATTAATAATATCGAGATGCATTCAGTATTTTCTTAAATTCCTGTTTGTATTGTTGTACCTGTTATAGACATTCGGAAATCTATTCTAGGGCCATAGGCTATATGGCGGATATCAATCAACCACTGGCTGGATATCATCTGGGTAGTTTATGTGGTGGGGTGGTGTTCATCTTCTTAGATGTCTACTGTTGGTGTAGTTACTCCAAGCAAGCGGAGAAATTGTTTGATTGTCGAGTTTTATCTGACTGAACAATGGTGTAGTTACTCCAAGCAAGCGGAGAAATTGTTTGATTGTCGAGTTTTATCTGACTGAACAATGGTGTAGTTACTCCAAGCAAGCGGAGAAATTGTTTGATTGTCGAGTTTTATCTGACTGAACAATGGTGTAGTTACTCCAAGCAAGCGGAGAAATTGTTTGATTGTCGAGTTTTATCTGATTGAACAAGTTGTGAATCTATAGGTCTGTTGATTGGGTAAAAAGAGTAGATAAGTACAATTCAAGAAATCTGATATCATAAGAGCTTTCGTAAAAGGTTCTTCTTCAGGAGCGAATTAGGAACCGTTCTTTGGTGGTGTGGTTGGAGTTCTTAGTGAAATTTCTTTAAAATATGTCGTTTTTTTTTTACGTATTCCTCCATATTTGCTAGGAATGGATGGTAATTTTAAACATGTGAATAACACAAGACGTTGTTTAGAAAGCTAAAAATGGACATAGTTACTTTCTCTTATTCTCGCGCGAGCCCCGGGTGACTCAGCGGTAAGACGAGGGCTTATGAACCGGGTTTCGATACCGGCAGTGAGAAGAGCACAATTAGACAACTGTGTGTAGCTTTGCGCTTAACAACAAACAAACTTCCCCTCGCATGATTTATAAAACTTGTAAAGCGTAAATAAATTAACAAACTACTTTAGTTCTTACAATTCCAGTGGCGAACTTTCGGGTCAAAGTTGTAATTTTTCAATATTTCAATTTTATAAAAACTGATATGGGGGATAGAGTAACTGTTGAACTGTTTTATAATCTTCGCCGGAATATAAGATATATTTGCTTTAGTGACATGATCGAATAGGATACTTCTCATCTAGTTTAAGCATACTATACGAAATAAAATACATCAAAAATATCATCCGATTAATTCTAGAAAGGTTCAAAATATCTATATGAAACAGAAACGCAGTCCTAACTTCGATAACTAATGTATCGTATGATTTAACAAAATATAGGATAAAATATCTATTAGGTTATAGATTATAAATTTATTTTATTATAGACTGGATTAATATTAGAATTATTATAATTAAATCTAATTCATTTAATTATCAAAGTTTTTGTGACACACATAATAAAGAGTTTATTAGAGCCAGTTCATAATGAGGAAAATGTTGACTGTTATTATATGTAAAATGCAAGTTGTTGTTTTTAGCAAACTGAGATACTGCTAAGACTGAAATTCTCAGTGAGAAAGAAAATAAACTTTTCTCCGAAAGATTACTTAATAAAACGACATTGAAATTTTTTTATTCAAACTGAAAAATATGAAAAATTGAACGTTAATAAAACGACATTGAAATTTCTTTATTCAAACTGAAAAATATGAAAAATTGAACGTTAATAAAACGACATTGAAATTTCTTTATTCAAACTGAAAAATATGAAAAATTGAACGTTAATAAAACGACATTGAAATTTCTTTATTCAAACTGAAAAATATGAAAAATTGAACGTATGGGATTGCAATTAAAGTTTATTTTTTTGTTAGGTTGAGTTAAAGTAAATAATATATGTATAGTAGGGTTTAACAAAATATAGAAAAAGTAGATATTGGTTCTGAATTATAAATAAATGTTGTGCTTCGTTAATCTGCTTCACACCATACCAGTTGTTGTTCATAAAAATTGACGATACAGTATATATATGCATAGTGCCTAAATATTACTGTGTCTATTGTATTCCATTCGGCGTGATGAACCCTGATATTGGTTAAAAGGCCTCGTCGGCAGTATATATGACAGATTATAACATATTCCTTTTAGCCTTCGCTCATGGGTTCTTAAAATTGTGGTAACTTCATGAGTTGTTTTGCCTAGCTAATCTTAGGTTGAATGTTGATGTGAATGCACTGAATCACAATGGTTGTTAACACTACCAACAGAGTTAGGCCCTTCAGAGACTTCGACAGAACTGATCTCTGAAATCAGGCAAACAGTTCTTGTACTACCTCTTAATATTAATTCAGGAATGATACAATATTTTATATTTACAAACTAACATTTATTTCATTACTGTCAAAGCAACATCGTAATGTATGAACATATCAAATTACTGTATTTCATATAAAAGTGCAATATACCGTTCACTACTTTTTGTTTGTTCATTCCATACATTGCCTGTAAAATCGCCGTGCCCCTGTTGGCTCAGTGATAAGTTTGCAGGCTTATAAAGGTAAAAATCGTATTTTAATACTGCGGTGAGCGAAGCACGGTTAGATTTGCTTAACACGTTAACCAACTAAACCAGAAGGTTAAGCTCTTAGATTCAAGCAACTTTTCCTACATTTTAAGACGTTTCAGAAATGTGTTCATCCTTAAACATCATACGTTTGTTGCTCCTATTCAAACAAAACGCAAACATTTTTATTATCTTCTAGCTTATTCTTGGAGATTGACGAAAGATGGATATGGTTTTGACGAAAGCCTACCATGTTGAAATAACTGTGACGCATTCTTCGTCTCATTGCTTTCATCAGCAGTAAGTATAGTGTCGGTTTGAAGCTGTCAGTAGCAATAAACTAAGGTTTTATACGCCGAGAATTAGCTCTAACTGTATGTCGTTAAACGTCTCACCATTTCAAACGCACACAAAAAGCTGAAATACTGCTTAACTAAATTACAACGAACAGATTCTAAGATGGCGTTTCTTGGCACTTCAAGAACCACATTAAACGTTCCGAGAATCATTTCACTAGTTACACAGATATAAAAGCCCCTTTTCTTATCACCAGTTGATATGGATGAATTATATTTTAACATCACTACGTATATTATTTTCGCCATAATGTTTTACCCAGAAGTGACAATTTTCCATAACCAGCTCCATTGTTTGTACTACAACATCTTGGAATTACCGTCAACCCTTGCAGCACATGCTACACCTCAAAGTTAATCAAAACGTGTGAACCGAAAAAACAACAAGAAAAAACAAAACGAATGTCTGACTTTTCTTAAATAATATTTTGCTTGAATGCTATGACATTACAATAAGCGGGTCAAGGCTTTTATTAACCTGCGTAGTTAAAGGTCATCGGGGATTGAATATGCAAATTGTTACTATAGGTCGTGAACAGCGCCCTCTGTACGCTTTTTTGTGTTTTTCGTGCATTAACTTATAAGGTTGATAGGTGATTAATTTGCTAACGTATGAGCCCTTCAATGATAAAAACTGTGATATGTTTAATTGCGTTACACGTGAACAGTTACAAAATGTAGACTTGTTGACACACGAGGTAAACTGTAGTGGGTAAATATGTTTATAAGGTATAGATACAACAGCGTTTGACAATGTGCGTTTCTGGTAGATTCTTTTGGGAGTTCATACTTTTTACGAGAAAGCACGTGTAAGGTCGTCGCTGCAAAGTTCGGTATAGTGGCAAAGCTCTTAGTTCGTCTTATTTTTCTATTCAAGATTTTTTTCAGGGGATACACATGCAGTGTGTATGTGTATATATATATATCGTTATTTTCCGGTACCTTTAGCTTAAACACATTCATGCACGAGGAATGACACTTTGCTAGTTTAGGCCTCTTCTTTTCGAGATAGAGAGGGTTGAAGTTCATTTTAAGATTGTGCAACATGTGATATGACATGCAGTATATACATGACGATCTCGTCCACTAAGATGCAACTCTTCTGTTCAAACGGTTCGACTACACTATAAGTGTGAATCTTGAAAATTCCATAAATGGGAAATTGTTGAGGGGGGGTGAAGACTGTTGGGGGGGGATTGAACCTAACGCTTTTCTTATCCCTAATTGCAGATCTCTACTTAACATACTAAGATCATCACAATAAACCTCCAATTAGATACAGGAAGAAACCCAAGTCGGTCTATGCTGTGTATGTTCTTTTAAATTTATACACAATGAAGCGCCTGTCTTTTCAGTTCTTGAATTCTATTCCAAAACTAAAAACAAAAATCGGTAATTTCATTTGAGGACACGTTCTACTTATAATTTTCTGTATTTTTTTTTATTGTTGATCCACACAAAGCCACACTTCAGTAATCTTTCTGCGACATATACAACGAATACGTTTGTTTGTAGTTAAGCACAAAGCTGCAGAATGGGCTATCTGTGCTCTGCCCACCACGGATATCGAAACTCGGTTTCTAGCGTTGTAAGTCAGCAGACATGCCGCTGTGCCACTGGGGTGGGGACATTTATACGATGGTTTATGTACCTATTGAAAATGAAGTGACATTATTTTACAACATATGGTATTAGCTTTGAACACCATATTTAGATACTCCGTTTACGGTATTCTCTCCTAAATAACCTGTATTACACTATAGTTTCTTCCAAGTGAATGTTATTGTACAATGAATGAGCGTTATAGCGATCTGGCATGGCGTGGCGATTAGGGCGCTCGACTTGCAATCTTTGGGTTCGAATTCCTTCACCAAGCATGCTCGCCCGTTCAGTCTTGGGGTTGTTATAATGTGACGGTCAATCCCATTATTCGATTAGAATAGCTCAAGAATTGGCTGTGGATGGTGTTGACCAGCTGCCTTTCCATTAGTCTATCATTTCTAAATTAGGGACGGCTAGCCCAGATACCCTTCGAGTAACTTTGCACGAAATTCAACAAATTAACAACGTCAAATCTGGCCATGCGAAAGTCATCGTCGAAACGTGAATTTGATTAAAACGCTTAATAATTCATGATTGTCAGTAGTGATATTCGATACTTTTGGTCTAACAGGAATGTTGTATTCCTGGATATTCTGTAGGCTATACGTGACACCGGTATTCAAACCCCCTAGTCTGATATTATGTTATCCTTCTTTAACTTCAACAGATATCTAATTTTATTTCTCTTGTCGAAGTGAGATCCTTATTCAGTTTATTTTAAGTTTAGTATTGCTATGAACTTTCTTGCGTATTTCACTACCTTGTTTCGTATATCAGTTTTGTGATAATTAGTTCACTGTTTTCACTAAGACATGTGATAGCTTCACATTCTTCTTTCGTTAACTTGTACGACTTTTTCACAAAAATATACCTGTTTAGGTTTGATAAAGTTATACTAGTTGTATTTGTTTTAACATTCTCAGAGATTTCATCTGTATATAGCGAAACAGGATTTACTTTCAAATCCCTCAATAACAATTCGAAGGTGGAGAAACAAGTATGAAATCGTATTTCACTAAATCCACTTTATATATCTTAAATGAAATATTTTCTACTTTTCTGAAGTATTGCGATGTCAATGTACAGTCATTTTCATTACACTCATAATGAACAAGAACCTCAGACAGAATAGTATCATTTAGAAATTGTTCAGAAATAGCTATTACAGTATAGTATTCTCACTAAACCAACAAAGCTTTAACACAGTACAATATTCTCACTAAACCAACAAAGCTTTAGCACAGTACAATATTCTCACTAAACCAACAAAGCTTTAGCACAGTACAATATTCTCACTAAACCAACAAAGCTTTAGCTTCACCAATCGATTTCCTTCAGCTACGTTTAACCTTTCTTTCTTATTTTAGTAGTAGCATGTATACTACTCTAATTTTAGTAGTGCAGACTGGCTCTCAATTGGTCAAGTGCTGCACGTGACACTACTGTTTTTTTTGTTTTTTACTTATGCATATAAGTGATCTTGTACGTTTAGTTCTTACAAGCAAGTCAAATTTGTATTTTTTCGAGTTCATTGTAAGTTGAAACTATAATGCATATTTTATATGAAGAACTATTTTATCTAACAGTCTATTGATTGTTAGGAAAAAAAGGCATTCATTATAACCTAGATTTTTTTTTCTTTTTGGAAATTGGATCGTAGAGCTAAAGCCTATAATCACTTTTAATATTGTGGTTAGTTTTGTAATAGTTAAAAATAGTGAAGTTTCAGTTTACGTTTTTTTATTAATATCTGTTATGGGTAACTTATAAATAGCGTTTGGTTAAAATTATAATCAAATGTCATGTTATCTTTAACTATATATGTATAAGCTAATGATGGACAATACTGAATATTCCACACTCCACTCTATGATTGCTGGGTTTTCTATAGCTCATTGTTCATATCTTAAAACTAGCATTTGGTCTTTATATTTGCACAAACAGGAGACAGAAACGTTCTTTTATTTCTTTGATATTAAACACTATACGCTTAGCATGTTTAACATAAGCCTTTCCAGTTTTCCTGGGTGATATTATCTTTAAATACACCATTTGTAAACAGAGATTTAATAAAGAAAGAAATGAATTCTTATTGAACGTTTCGTATGCATTTTTTTTCATAAATGATCATGAATTAGGATAGATAAAATAAAATAATTAAATGTAGTTGTTTTTTCTGTCTTCTGTAGAAAACCCAGACGCTCGATGTAGATGTAGATACCATGTTGTGTGATTCCCAAGCCCGCGGTGTCAAACGGAAGTATGAAGACGACAAAGAGTGTGAAACGCCCACCTCACTCTATTTCACCCAGCGTCAGTCAGTGTTTAATATCAGTGTTTGTAAACTCAACAGACTTCGACAGACTCTTAGTCTGAGACGGTCCGTTCTCATCTATAATACTCTGCGGAAAATCCAAAGAGAATGTGAACAGGAAGGGATAAAAATGAACTATGCTCCTAATAGTCACTTGTTCTTGGCACCTCTAAACCCGCAGGTCATGACCCTTGACCCACCACCCGTTCCGAGCCAAACTACGTTTGAAGGGTATTCGGGGAACACATTCAACTCTGTCGGGGACTCCAAACCCATCCAAAGATGCCTTTCTGACACAGAGCAGCCTAACCCTGATGCTGTTAGTAGTTACCCATTGAAATCCCTGCTAAATGCTTACCAGTATAAGCCATCATCTCAGACGGAAGACCAACTTAATCATAAGTCACAGACTAGCTCCATAGAAAATAGCTATGTTTCTAAGTCGTGTACTTTAGCGGAAGGAGTCTACAAGCAGAGTAGTGACGAACTGAGTGAAGAATACGACAGATACCTGATGGAGTTCGACTCTGCATCCGGAAGAATAACCCCTTTTGTAAAGACAGCGTGCGATCGTCTTGATTCCGGTGCCTTATGGAATGACGACAGCGACAGACTGACTAGCTTGAACTGGAGCTCAGTATTAAACTTCAGTTCCTTATCAACCAGTACAGCCACTAGTGTTTTACCACCAGAACCAGCGTTTGATTCCTCCGAGGACTGTCAGTTTGCTGAAAGAAACAGAGGCAGCTCTACAACTGACAGCGTGGCTGAAACTGTACGAACACCTAGCGAATCATCCAGTACCCCGGAGACGTCCTTACATATGCTCCTCCCTGCTACAAGCAGCCCTACGTCAGAACTGCCAACTCTGAACTTCCGTTACTCAACTCCTTCTTCAAGCCCAACCCCCGGAGCCACGTCCAGCTCTAGTTCTGGGGATGAAATATTTGGTGATATAGATATGGCACTTTACGACTTTGATCTGTACTCCCCCTTGTCTCCTCCCAATGTCAAATTGGCCCCGGTCAGTGCTGAAGAACTTATGACGTCCCTCACGGAAAACGGTCAGCCTTGCCCTGTGTCCAGTTATTTGAAAGAAAAATTAAGTGAGGAAGAGGAACAAACTACTCCAGTTGAGTCATGACTGAATGTCCATTTTCATGTTTGGAATGTAACAAGTTTTATGTTCGTTATCAGCACTCGATTTTAAGAGCTTAATGACACTTAATTGAAAGAGCCTAAAACATTGATAGTGAAAAAAAAAAGAAGATATAAGTGCTTTATACGTTGGCTTTCTTTAAATTACAAATAATATTTAAACTCAGAACAAAGTTCCTGATGTTCCCAAATATTAGACAACCGTTGTGTTTGAAGGTTGTTATCGGCAAAGATATATTTATATACCAATTACTATATACATGTGCGATTTTCACACAAAGGTTTCGTAATAATTTAATAATCACTAAACAACGATCCCGTATAGAGAGAAAGAGGTACAAGGGACCAAATTTAAAAATTCTGCTTCATGCCGAAAAAATTCTTTTCTACTGAACCCCAGTTATGGATCAAATACTATCACCTCGACTTATAGTACCTTGGAACATCAGTCGTCGAGTGTTCATTCTGTCAATGTTTATTTGTCCTCATGTTTTTGGTACAAAAGGAAAAAAACAACTGTAATTAATTATGTAAATAATTAAGCATTACTCTGTCCCACGACAACTTGAATAATAATTATACTTAGCTATCTATGAAACTTTATTTAAACATTACTGTGGAAAACATTTTTTTTTTTATTGACAGTGTATTGAGTCGTGTGTTTGCTGCTGTTTAGTTACTTAGCATTTCTCGGAAACAAAGGTATTGAAATTAACTTTTTATATGCGAAAGGCAGATCTTTTCAGAAAAGTTTCCGATACTTCTTTCTTACTCAGCTAAGGGCAGAAAGTTGTGTATTAATGTTTTATGTACAGTGAAAGGTTACAGTGGGTAAAATGATGTTAAAATAAGTTCAGTTGGTAAGCCAAGATCGCTAGAAAGTTTTGTTTCAAACAGCCACTCGTCTAGTTTTTAAAGATAATAGAAAACCGAAAGAAGTATGACTACTTTTTTTCTGTATCATGATAAATTCGTAACGTCTGCTTCTGTACGAAAGCAAGAAAACTATTTCCAAACTGAACAAATTGAATAAGGAGATCTGCTCAGCATTAATCACACCGTGTATATATTCAGCCAAAGAATAACGTCGAGGAGTTAAATGTAACACTTCAGCTAAGACTACTTTTCCTTGTTTTAGAATGTACATAGAGCTACTTTAATGTAAGGAAACATACCACAGTCGGCATATTTATACAAATATTAAAAAATGAAAAGAAGTAATGTTCTATATTGACCAACTTGTACGATGAATAGCCATCGGCGAGTAGGGTCTTTGGAGAGTGAACTTGATATGTTTGTACATAAAATATCTGCGTAAGTCATTAATAACATAATATATACATCGTTATTTTACAGTTTATTATATATGTATGTATGTATGTGTCACCAAACATCAGTATATTGTAACAGTAAGTGATGTCCATGGAGCAGTCATGAATTTCATGATAGGGTGAAAATCCTAAATCATATATAAAGTCACAAGTATTTTTCCAAATATTGACTGCTATTTTGCATATCTTTATACAAGACGCTTGATTGTTGAAAGGTTTATTGAAGTTATTCCCTACCAGTTTTAAAGAAAGTTTTTCAGAGATGTAAAGATAACCGTCTAAAGTTAATGTTCTTTGTTTTGAATATAATAATGTTGTTATTATATGTTAGTTATATTCTAACATGTAAGTCAGAATGAATAATTACATGTAAATCAGAATAAGTTTTCAAAGTAAATTATTAAGTTCGTAAATCCTTCGGGAAATACGATATGAATTCACGATATGAAATCAATAGCATTTGGAGGACTGGTATTTGAAAGCAGCTTATCTAAGAAATGTTACCTACAAACTATGGGGACTGTCTCCTGTAAAGTTATAAAATGAGCAGTATGAAGAGCAAGTGACAATATTGCGGACTGTTATTCTTGCTATATTGCAGGTAGCTAGCTAGTTTTTGGATTTTATCCTGTAGGTAATGGTGTGGAAATTAACTGATGGTTAAAATACTGTATTGCAAAGAAATGATGTGAGGATTTTACATGTAATGTACATGATTTCAGCTTGTTATTTTGGGGACTGTCTCCTGTAAAGTTATAAAATGAGCAGTATGAAGAGCAAGTGACAATATTGCGGACTGTTATTCTTGCTATATTGCAGGTAGCTAGCTAGTTTTTGGATTTTATCCTGTAGGTAATGGTGTGGAAATTAACTGATGGTTGAAATACTGTATTGCAGTGAAATGAGGTGAGGATTTTACATGTAATGTACATGATTTCAGCTTGTTATTTTGGGGACTGTCTCCTGCGCTGTGTAGGTTTTCTCCTTTGTATTCCTGGAATGCAGAGCGCAGAATCACACGTGCAAGATAGAGACTGTCTCATGTAACATACAGCTGGAACAGTGTGTGTGTGTGTGGATGCTACCACGTGTACTGTACTGCAGATAGATAATATGGGGACTTTCATGTGCGAGTGGATGATATGTATTGTAACAAACAACAGGTATATGTTGTGGATATTATCACGTGTATTGTAGTGGAGTTCGTTAACGTGGGGATTTTTATATGCTGGCTAATAACCTGATTGGCTATCTCCTGTATTATTTTACTGGTGTTTAGTGTGCAGGTGATTGTGATGTACATTGTACTTCAGTTAGTAATTTTCAAGAAGGTAATGTAGAAATGGCCATCCATTATGAATGTTGTGTGGATTATATGAGGTGTATCTCCTCTACTGTAATTCTGGCATCTAGAGCGGATAGTGTTCTGCAAGAAGCTAATAGGAGAACTGGTTTCTTCAGGTAGGTAATGTGGAAGCCGTTTCCTGTACTCCATTACAGGTACGAACTGTCTCCTTCAAGTCGTCTCAAGTGTCGTATTGCTGGTAGCAGGTATCAAAATGTTTCACTTCAGTGTTGGAATGTGCCCCAATGGTGGGCGTAGAATTGGAGCACCAAACAGATTCATTATTGCTAGGGGACTGAGGCGGAGGATGCATTAAGGTTAAATTCGTTTTGCATTATCATCAGACAGTGAAAAGGTTAAGAGTTATTCTTAGATTTTTAGATTTTGTATTCTTGATTCTATTTTGTATTCCTATAACAAAATATTATAATAGTCAAATCAGTACTAGATTTGTGTCACCAATTGGTGAATTAAAGTATACAGTGTCCTGTGAACCATCGAACTGTTATTAACATTATGTCATCAAAGGCATATTACTTGCTTAATTTATGGTGTTAATTTAAATAGAGTGGTTAGGTCTGTAGTAGTTTCTGTAATTGTTTTTTTTTCTTCTCTTTTTTTGCGTTTTCCGAAGTAGCAAGATTCTCTAAAAACTAAAGCTGAAAATTGCTTTGTTTGCATCTCAGACTCTGATCTCATTGAAATTTAACTTTGTCAGAGACGAAACTGTTAATACGCTTCCCAGCCAGAGATTAAATATCAAACACTGTTTCTAAATGTTAAACACTGCTGTTATTTATCAACACCAGAGTTTAAATACACTGCTAAGTACCAAAGTCTGAGTCTAATACTGTTGAAAACGTTTCCATGACCGTTTCCAAGATAATGTTGTTAATTATAAAACAAATATTATAAGGTTATAACTGTTGTTTACACCTGACCATGACAATTTTTAACAAGTATTAAACTCTAAAGGTTCATGCTGTTCGTAGATATTCATATCCAAGGTAATGTTCTTATGTATCAAGTGCCAGAGTTTATAATATTAATAATTATCAAATGTTAAAAATTAATGTCAGTGATAACTTTTCGATAGTAAAGGCAATGTTAATAACTTATATTAATACCAGAAACGAATGTTACTGCTAGGTAGCCATGCCTAAGGTTAATAGCAGTGATAAGGCTCTGTATTATACTTGTACATGTTACTTGATCACACACTTAATACTTACGGACGAATCAATAGATTTTTGGTTATCCAAATTAATTTTAGAAGGACTTATAAGAAACTTCACTTGTTAATAAAACAGTATTTACTTATCATTATGCATTCAACTTGTACCTCATAATTCGGAAGACAAAAATCGCTGTACAAGCACTGATAGACATTTATATACTGCAGAATACGCTCAGTAAACGAAATTGTGAAAATTCGAGGCTTAAGTAACCACTTCACAGACCCTTGCAGAAAACTAAACTTATAACTTTAAAATCATTGGATACGTAGAAGTTCAGTATTGCGTTGGGTTAACAATTGTTTTTGATTGTCAACTTATTATCTACATTAAAAGTCCATGTCACTACACTAGAATAACTTCCTAAGTGAGTCAGATATGAGCATCGAGCTGAGAATCAGTTAACTCCTTTCAGTACAGAAATTAATAATCCGGTTTTTGATCTTACTTTACGTCACTTTTCTAATTTACTTTCACATTAATCACATCTTATATTTCTTTATTTCACTTAGTGCAAGAGTTTTGCAAACTGGGGTCCACTGGGAAGTGTCGGGACGGTGTGTTGGTGCTTAACAAAGAAAGAAAATACACAATACTGTTAAGGTATTCAGAATTTATAGATTCATTGGGCCGGGAGCTGCAGTGAGGATGTGGAAATTACTGGGAGGTTTTGTGCTGAGAAAGTTGGGGAACCCCTGATTTAGTGGACCGTTCTGCCATTTATTTTGTGTTATTTTTTAGTCTACTTTCTTTGTCGCTTTGGCAATTCTTTTTGTGACAATATCTTCAAATTTTCCTTATTCTATGTCCTGTAATAGCCTGATATTCCTCAGATCCTTCTTTATGGCAGATTGTGCGAGATTTTCTGACTGTGTGTTTTCTCGCAAGTACTTCTAATTTGATTCTCGGCAATTTCTTTCGAAAAATTCGAAAAAAGTGTTTTCAATTACTTCATTAAACACAGTGTGAATTATTCTCGTTGTTGGTGTGGGATACCATTTCAAAGCAGTCAGAAAGGTGTCCCACAGCTTAATTCTGGTCCTTGTGTGTTGTTGCATGCGTTTATTTATCATATTTTTGCCTACATAAAAAAATCGATTCACATATAAATAACACACACATACAGTGTACGGTCAAATCATCCTGAAAAGTACGGTTTGATTTAGTAGTATTTTGTTTTGTTTTTCCACAGAGAGAAGTGAGTTTTTATTTGGTTGGTGTCAAAATCACATTACCCTTGTTGTGAAAGTATAACATTTCCGATAAGATTATGGTTTATATTCCTTTACAGACAAGAGTGAAAATATTAGATTTTAAGATATCTTTACATAGCACAACAGCTGAACATTTTAAACTGATTGTATTTTGTTAAACTCACTGATTTTATTAGCAGATTTTAGAAGCACTGACTGACCACTCGGAACGATTTCTATTTTTCAACAGAATGCAAGTGTTTCTTGACACATTTTTTCCAAACAAACTGAGAAAATAGCATTCTATGAATGTAGAAAAGCTTTCCAACTTTAACAGTCAGTTTGTAATATTTTACATAATTTTGCTTATAAATCTATTAGTAACAATACTTGAAAGGTAAATATTTCAGTTAAAAAACAACAACAACAAACGAAAAACGTTTTATTTTCTTATTTTAGAAAAAGCCGATATACTAGAAAATCTATCTATTTGCATTTTACCATGTATTATAATAATTTAGTGTATGACGTTTTATTTATATACCTAAAGTAAATCCTAGGGTCGTCCCCAGGTGGCTTAGCGGTAATTCTGAATATTTTTAGGTTTGTTTTGAAGTTAAGCACAGAGCTACACAATGGGCTGTCTGTGCTCTGCCCATCACGGGTATCGACGAAACCCGGTTTCTAGCGCTGTAAGTTCGCAGAGATACCGCTGTGCCACTGGAGGGGGGAGGCTAAAGGTTTTAATGCTAAACATCTGATTTCGATACCCGCAGGGGGCACTTTACAGATAACTCTCTTGTGTAGCTTATCTCTTAACAAGGCAAGCCGTGGGATTTTTCTATCACAATGCATACATCAATAACTCGCAATCATTTTCATCAGTTTATTTAATTTTTTTGCTTTCCTGACGTGATTTGTTTACTGTTATACTCTTATTTGTTTTTGTTTTTTTCACGAATTAAATAAACCTAATATTTTAGCCTTTTTTTAACAATTAAGAAACTTACGGTAATTGTTCCGCTTGATATTATTATATTAGTTTCCTATTATAATATACAGTATTGTATTCTCGTGATTAGAGATGACTACAAAAAGGCAGTTGGTTGGGATGTTAATCGCAAAGTTATTTTCAAGTTTAATCTCCTTTCGTTTCTTCGTAAGTACCCTTTTTTAACACATAAAACTGCTTACATGTGAAATATAAATTAACTCTGTTAAGATTAACGATACTAAGTTTGGGATTTATTGTGTTTGGGACAACTTTTGATTCCGTAAAAATCCAGACGTAAATAATTCAAATATAGTTGTGAAACTTTAGTAGTTAGTCTGGGTGTAACGCAGTTAAGACGAAATATAGGGTGATTAAACAAATGCTATCCCACATATTTCTTATGGGAGGAATATAACACACTAACGATACAAATGTACATCACTGAAATAAAATACTTGGTTTGCAACAATGCCAGAACACACGAGAAAACTTCACTTGCAACAATGCCAGAACACACGAGAAAACTTCACTTGCAACAATGTCAGTTTTAAGCTTCCACTTTAGCGTATTATATTATTACCATAAAAAATCAGTGAGGTATCTCTTGTTGGATCACCCTGTACACACGAGAGATATGCATTATTTGGTTCGAAAATAACTAACAACTGATAGAAAATTACGTAACCTTTAACTGTTTTTTTTAAATAAAATGCCAATACCATTTTAATGAAGTTTAAGCCAAAGAAGCTACCACTGAGAAACTGTAGATGTCATTTCTATCAGGAGTTGTAGAATAATGAATGACTTAACTATAACCATCTTTACATATAGTTTTCACGATATTCACTGTGAACGTACAATTAGTGACACTGTGCCTGTTACTAATTACCAATACTGCTTGCACGAGCTCAAAACTTATTTTAAGAAAGTGAAATTTCCTTGATATTACCACCTTGGTAGAAGATAAATGTTTATTTGTATTCAGAAACATATACAGGATAGTCCAGAAAATGGTGTACCAATCTAAATTAGCGCTTTCTTTGTATATATTACCCTTGAGGGATCGAAAAACAGTGTCAAAACTGGTCCTTGTCTATATTGTTGGTGCTTCGCAGTCAAATCGCTCGGGCAATTCTGTACCTCACGACTTTTAACCATAGTTCGTTGCGAAACCCATGAATAGATTTTGCTCAATGCTAAAACGTCACATACTTAATACTCTGTTACTGGAAAAAGAGGAGAAACAAGAGTTACTTTTGGCATGTTACCCGAGAAATACTTTGCGTCATATATCCCACTATAGAAATATATTTAGGTTTAACGCATTACGACATATTGTTTTTAAACCACATTGTAAACACGCTTATTACTTTTTAGTTTAGGTTTAATTTTTAAACCTGGAGAGCTAAGCCGATTATTGCATAAAAGTAATATTTAATCGCCATTAAGATATTTGCTGATTGTTAAACAAAATTATGTGATTTTTGAAATCTTATGTTGATACAACTTACTTCTATCAAGAGAAGACTTGAAAACTTTCAGTATCTACAGATAAATAGTCATTTTCGTACAGCAATAAACTTCGTAACTTCCGTAGAGATGTTGGATTGATTTTCTCTTCGATGATTACTAGGCTTCTTTAATCTCCTGTGACGTATTTCTTTTGTGATTATTACGAAATGGTGTTGGAGCAATAAAGAAAGGTAAATCAATCCAAATTTTTGTTAGATGCGAAACGTTGACGTTTTGTATCTGAAAGGGTTAATGATTTAAGTAACTTTCAAGGTACTAAAGGGCGAAGAAGGAAAATGTGATGATATTCAGTAGATTATCTGTAAAAAGAAAAAAAGAGAGAGATATGTTTCTAGTAGTTAAGGACAAAGGTTGCGATTAGATTTGTGCAATGCAGTGTGATAAGGAATAATGAAAAAAAATATTTATTGTTGTTGAAGTAAAAGAAAGTCGAAATGATGCACATAGTTGAGAGAGTAAAATTGTATATTAATTTATATGTTCATACAGTATGTGGACGAACAACATCGTATTCTGTCCAAAATCTTCCAAATAAAACGTTTTACCGAATAATTGTGGTGTGTACCTGAGTTTGAATTATTATTTTGTATAAAAGCAAAGACATATGACATACTTCTGGTGTCAAAATATTGAAACACCTACAAGTTATATTATCGAGCTATTTACAAGTTATATGTCTAAAAACTACGTGAGAAACTACGTATGACTTACTTAAGATTATCTGAAGGGAATAATGCTTACTACCAGTCGATAAATACTGACTTAGACTCGTTGTTATTATCTGCATCTATCGACTGTAATTGGCTAGAGCGTTTCATCTGTCCATATGACTATATAGGATATATTACCCGTTGATCTAATTGAGGACTAAACTGTGGATATAACTAGGCAGGATTTGCTATTCTTCAAGAAAAACACTGGATCTGTCTCTTGTCTATAATATAGGATCTACAGTTTATTAAAATTATGAAGCTAATTACATGTCAGTTGCCCCCCAGCGGCGGACTTACAACGCTAGAAACCGGGTCTCGATACTCGTGGTGGGCAGAGCATAGACAGCCGATTGTGTAGCTTTGTGCTTAATTACAAAGAAACAAACATACTTGTCAGGCTTCATGATACTAGGAAAGTACGTAGGATAAGAAAATAACAACATCGATAAACAAATACTTTCAGAAGGAAAGATTTCGGGTTACTGAGTGTTATGATATTGTTGGTGAATGGATATGATCCACCACTTAACTACACAGGGCTTAAAACGTGTAAGTAGAACTAAATAGAGTGACTGGATTGTCGATAGGACAGTGAGAAAAGAACTGTGAATATATTTGTAGCTAGAATACGATATCGCTTGTCCATACGATTACACAGAGTATATTATCTACCACTAAAACAAGACAGAATAATTTATTCCTCAAGATAACAAAATACGGCCTACCAAATGTGAATATAATTGGACAGTGACTGGCTGTCGAAATTACCATACAGGCTTTAACAAAACATCAATGTATAATCAAATAGGGTTACCCAGTTTTCAGTATCACTATACACTATGTACCACATTCCAGTGTAACTTTATAGCATTTTAGCTGAAATACAAATATTTTGGTTTCAGATTTATATGTGTAATCTGACGATAATAACAAAAAGAGTCTATCTTTTATTGGTATAATGGCAGGGCTATTCTAGTTAATTCTATATTATTTGAATCGACATAGCTATAGATTATATTGCTGTTAGAGTTCTTGAAGTTACATTAAACATTTCAGAACAAAACCATTGAGGGTCTGCCATGGCCTGGTGGTTAGAGTACGCGGCCGGCAGATCACGGTTTCGAATCCCGTCGTTGGCACTTCCCTCTAGTCTATCACTTATAAATTAAATATAGCTAGCGAAGATAACCCACAAAATTCAACAAACAAAGCCATTAAAGCTATACGTTTAAAACAGAGAATATAAATGTGAAAGATCAACCAGTAAGTTAAATTTCAGCTTGTAAAATATTCCGTATCATAAGCGTTATCACACTACCTTAAGGTTGGTAAAACGGGCCGTGTCTTAAGTGTGACTATAAGAATGCAAGTTCAATAAACTGCACTGACTATTAGTGTTTATAATAGCAACGTAAAATTAGCTCAATACTAACATCTTAGCTGTTATCATTCTCATACAATGTTTAGAAACTGGATTGCGTTTAAGCTGTATTACACTACTAAAAAGTTAGTAAGCAAGCTACGCTGTAGTTTAGCTGTCATCATATCCGTTTAAAATTAATAAACTACGCTTAGTTTAGCTGTTATCATATAGGTTATCATTTTAGCTATTATCACAGTCCTAAAGTTAGTAAGTTACACTGTATCTACGCTATTATCACAGTCCTTAAGTTAGTAAGCTACAATGTATCTCCGCTATTATCAGTCCTAAAGTTAGTAAGCTACACTGTATCTACGCTATTATCACAGTCCTTAAGTTAGTAAGCTACAATGTATCTCCGCTATAATCAGTCCTAAAGTTAGTAAGCTACACCGTATCTACGCTATTATCACACTCTTAAAGTTAATAAGCTACAATGTATCGTAACTATTATCACAGTCCTAAAGTTAGTAAGTTACACCGTATCTACGCTATTATCACACTCTTAAAGTTAATAAGCTACGTTGTATCGTAGCTATTATCACACTCCTAAAGTTAATAAGTTACACTGTATTTTCGCTATTATCACAGTGCTAATGTTAGTAAGTTACCCTGTATTTCCGCTATTATAACGCTCCTATAGTTCGTTAGCTACACTGTATCTTGGTTATTATGCCACTCCTGTAAAGTTAGTAAGCTACAGTGTATCTTGGCTATTATAACACTCCTAAATTAGTAAGCTACAGTGTATCTTGGCTATTATAACACTCCTAAATTAGTAAGCTACAGTGTATCTTGGCTATTATAACACTCCTAAATTAGTAAGCTACAGTGTATCTTGGCTATTATAACCCTCCTAAATTAGTAAGCTACAGTGTATCTTAGCTGTTTGCATACTTCTGTGAAAGTAATAAGCTACACTGTGTATTATTAGCTGTTTTATACGTTTATTTTACTGAGGTACAATGATGTCCAATAGATGTTTAAAGTATTCGCAAGGACCCAGATTCCAGATATGTACTAAAGAGAATAATTTCAAATTCAGACAGCAAAGGAAAAAGACTAAAAATGAAGTTTACAAAATAAACAAAACTTTATTTGTAAGAATTCTACAAATTTTTAATTACCAGACTGGCTAGCTTCTTAGTTATTTGAGTTCAAACTGGGTGATGGGGTTGGAAAAACTCAGAACAGGACCAAATCAGAAATAATGACGTCATACCGCACTTTCCAAATTAGACAAAGTGCGACATACCATGATTCCAAGCTGTATACGTCACCACATATTCCAATTTTGTAACTGTTTCTGTGTCAGCCCTTGAGGAGTTACAAGGCTAAATGATACAAGTTTTAAGTTGCCGTTGTATTTCACTATTATGTAAGTAAAAGTATTAACACGTGTTTATGATCTTTCAACATCCAATTGAAGAGAACATCTTGAAGAAAACTTCCCGAATATATCTTAATAAAGTTATATTTTATACTAGTTATGGAAGGTTGAAATTGTTGGATGTTCTAGCTATGACAATTCCTCCTTTCTTCTCCGGTGGTCTTCCGAGCTCGAATATTATTTATGAACACTTACTGCCGAATTAAGGAGTTCATTACAGGTCGTAAGATGCTATAAAAAGTTTCCTCAGGCGACATGCAAGACATCATGACATCTATACAAAAACTGCAAAGGGTTAACATCAAACCTAAAGCAGCCTGTAAAAATAGAACAAAAGTCACTCAGACAGAGAAACCGCCACCATACAATGTTTTAATTTTTTTTTTTGCATTAATCATCCTAAAATATACACCAAACAATTCTTTACCTTCAAAAATGTATTTCTTGGTGCCAAGATCCTCTTTCTATCTCAATCTCTTCTCGAATTTTGTCCAAATTTTCTACCATTATAACGAAAGTGGTTGACATTCTGTTTGATCTTCACATCTGAGTTACATTCACCCAAAATTAACCAAATGGGCTTGGTGTTATTAAACCTTGGTACTAAGTTAGATCAAAATCAGATTAAAGCTTTTCCAGTTATACTCTACACATACACAGGAATAAAAACAATAAGATGAAAATCGTATGTGAAATATATCAAAATCACAATACAAATTGGAAAATCAACAGAATCAAAATTAAATGACAATAATTATAACAGCCAACCAAACACGCTATGAAAAAACTTAAAAAATACTAAACAAAACGTATTAATAAAATAAAGCAGATCTTTAACCAATTATAAAAAAAAACAAAAAAAATGAATAAATTAAAAGTGCAAAAAAAAAGAAAAAAGAACCATACAAATAAAATTAAAAACACGGTTTACATAAAAATGAAGAATACGTACGATATTTACAAATGCTGACCTCTGGAAGGGGTTTAGATGTTTTCCCTGGATGTGGTCATCGACTAGGTTCCATCTCCAAGTAACGTTTTCTTCTCTTCCGTCACACGTGTCAAACAAGCTAATATATAATGAACAATAGTCAGTTTGTAAGGCAGAAAATTGAACAACGCATCATAGATGATATTACTTTTGTATCGGCGACTGGTTGGACCGAAATTTGTTGAGTGGTTCATAGAAGTGCAATAGACAGTCAGGCAGTTTATAAGACTCGGGAAGGTAAGGAATTCAGTAGGTTGGAGGCACAACTATGTGGACGTTTTAGAAAAATGTTGGGCATAGGTGTAAGCACCCATATTGTTCATTGGGTGCTGAAGCAGTACCTTTAGATGTACAACCTAGAAGGCTTTGTAAGGTCAGCATCTAAGACCACTGTGCTTTATATTGTGAACATGTTGGTCTTGTAACACTTTTTCTAGCTCTGGCCAGCTGCTATTTCAGGAATGAAGTGTCTGGTTGCTTCAGTAAAGCCAGAGTCCACTGAAGAATAAAGACTGGTTCCATATATCTGTTGAATGAAACAGCCCCTATACCAGGAGTCAAACAACATTCAAACTCCATCTCTCTTCCCAACGCAAGATATATATATAATCTGAACACATAGATATCTGGATTCACAAATAAGTCCATAAATATAGTCGTGTAGTCCAAATAGAAATCATGCTATAACACTACAACTGAATGCATTTAACACGATTAGCCTGAACATTTGTACTCTTATCACATTTGTGTACACACACATATATATAATGGTTCACTATATAATGGAAAACACTCTTATGTAGTACGTATCCATCATCACACATTAGCCAAGCATCATCACATATTAACCAACATGTACTTCCAGTACATGACGTGACTGTACAGTGGCCTAGCTTCCATGGCAACCGACGTCACATTAATTACGCTCTCTACATGTTAACTCCCAAGGCGCTACATAAAGAGTTAGACATATACCAACTCAAACAATATCACGAGAGTAAAAGTAATAGCAGATAGAAATGAATAGAGATGGCTTAT